GAGCATCCCAGCAACAACGCGGTCATCGCATCCCTAGTTCTGTGGCCTGTAATGCTGTGTATCATTCATGGGTTTCTTGGTTGTGTGCAAAACGTTGTTTCGCTACTCTGGGGCTTGTGCGCTGCTCTGCGCTGACGATGCGACCTTGCTGCCAATGAGAAGGGTATGGTTAATGTCGCAAGAACATAACTTATGCAAGGACGTGTATGGCGTCGACGCATTGCCCGTTGACTGACACCGCCGACGTAGGCTGACGCAGCGCGGTGATGACGTGGAACAAGGAGGGATGTTCGGGCGCTTGTTACCATCGGCCGTGCCATCATTCGTTAATTTAGGGCAGACATTCCCGTACTTGAGCAAGTGAAGAGTATACCACCTTCGGACAGTACTTCAAGCTTCAAGCTTCAAGTGTCATAATCAAAATTTTGTATACTATCTAGTTTCATTTACTAATGTTGTAAGCATATCTTTTATATACAAATCTAGTCTACGACGCAAGAAATTAGCCAGAGTTAGGTGGTGCATATGAGCAGCTGCTAAGTGCTACCAGGCTCTCCTGAGCCGAGCGCATGCACTAAGCAGTGAGCGCAGACGCGGTGGCTGGTAGTAGTAGACGCCCCTGCTACGTAGCAAGACGCTGTTTCCTGATGCTAACGGGCTTATGTCAGATTCAACTCCGTGAAAGAACAACGGCTTACCATTGATCCGTGTGGGATGAGGGCAATTACTGGAGATGCCACCTGCAAAAGCAGCATCCATCTGGTAGACACAATGAGAAGTGAAACAATCGAGAACTTCTGCTGCCACACGGTGCGGACTTCCTGGTCGAAGGTGATCACATGATCGTAAACTGTTAAAGCTGTAATCTTCAGTGTGAATATATAAAACCCCTTGCAGCGCTATATTCACCTGCGGCTGCGAAAGTTGTGTGATTGGAAATGAAGCTAAGCACATCACGTCAGTGTACGCATGCAGTTCAGGGGAGGACACGTACATCTCTGAGGGTACAGGTACTGAATCAAAAGACATTATGCTGGAGGCTTTGAATGAAGGTGGGGCAATTCGCGAAGAGACCGAACATTGCATATTCAACTCCCACCAGGGAGCTATATGTATACACACTAATCGCATCATGCCTGATTACGAAGCTGTCGCAGGGCCGGTGCGCTGTCTGCAAGGAGCGGTCGCGCGGCACATTCCGAGTCCATGATCATGAAAGGTGGAATTCTGCTGCTGGAAGGAGCAAGAAGATCCCAGTGTCCAAGGGGTAGTGATGATGCCAATAAGTCGAAATCAGTGCTATCAAAGACATTCAAATAGAGACGGCAGGGTTTGGGGGGCTTGTTTTTACGATGACGAGCGAATTACTCGAATCGACTCGCGAGGAACACGGTGTCTCACCTGAAACATCATGGGATACCCCAAAGAATGATACGACGATGGGATACACCATTAGACGCAGAATGTACCATGGCAGTGGCGTTGACGTGCACAGATTTATCGGGACATTAGCGCAGCCGAGAACGCAAGTTGGAGAGAATTTTCCGTTTAGCATATTTCCTTGTCTTCCACTGGGTATATCAATTAGCGAATACGTGGTTCGGCTGATACATGGAGTCGATGGCTACGAGATCCGTCGGACAGGACTTGAAGTCCGAGGACCACACGCGGAAACAGGACCTCATCTAGTCAATATCAAATAGATGATATTTAGCAAGCCTGTGCGCTGACCTCCCCAAGATGTTTCGCAAGCCCCTCGTGCCATAAGCAAAAATTGATGCCCGGCATTCTACTTCCACCGGTAAGACCGAGGACTCTGCAACGCGTCGAGCCTCTGGTTCGCCTTGACCCACCGGTACACGGCCTTGAGCGTCATGACCTAGCCCTTCTTGAGCACGAGCGTGATTATCGTGTTGTAGCAGTGCAGACGGTCGACCCACGGCGGCCGGGCGCCGCCGACATCTGCGGCAACACTGAGTGGTGCGCGAGCCGCAATACTAGTACTGTGGAGTGGGGATTCGGTGAACAGGTCAATATTTAGTGCTTTTGAGGGAAGAAGAAGGGGTCTATATATGTGGGGGAAAGGTACGCAGGAGAATGCAATACTCCCGTGCGCGAGCTGCGAACTGTGATAACGCAGCCACCGCGGATACCAATTCCTGTAAAAACAGTACTTAGTAACACGACTCACTCAAATAATTACTTGTTCGTGCCCGCGCTTGCCGCAGGCTGAAGGTCGCCTCTACATCGTATGCGAAACGCCGCTCCGCTACCCTCGGGTCAGAAAAGAAGCGACGGTATCAGGCCGGCCGTTCCGGTGCGCCTTACGAGTCAGACCGCGAACCGCTGCCTGCGTGCGTACATGCAAAGAAGGTCGTGTCGAACGGATTGAGAGAGACGGGAAGGGCTGCCCTGACTTCGATGCGAATTAATGAGATGGGCAGAAGAATTCACGACAAACGCATCAAGCGTGCAGTGATCCGAGCTCCGCCCCGCTCGGCAGACGCTCACTGCTGCTGAGGTGCTCAGGCTGCGCTCCTCGACCTATAAGCATGCTACCTTCTACATAAGGCTCTCGTTCTCGCAGACGTCGTCCGCGCGGCATCTGACGATGTTCTACTAGTGACGCTCTGGTATCGAGATGCTGATGTTCGCCAGGCCTTGTATATTTGGCTCGTCGCGATGTCCGAATCGTCGATCGAATACAGCAGGTACGACTGCATTTTTTCTCAGCGAAAGACATCTGGCAATCAGACCATAGGCTCGCAGAAGGCCGAGGTGCAACGGATTGACTAAGACAGAGACGACATAGAGATTAGGGAGCTGAGCACGAAGGAGGGTGGTCCGCGCTTCTGGATACTGGAACCAGGTGAGCCAATCCGGAGATTAGAAGCTGCTTGCGGACATCATTTGGAATCACTGTATACAAGAGAGCGGCCTCACACGATTTGTCTCGTTTTCCTTTTATTTCTTTTCCTTTTTCCTATTTCACCGAGCATAAGAAGATCCTCCATCTCCTTCCCAAGCGGCGCGCCGGGCATAAGAAGCTGACGTTGAAAAACAGCGCCTTGAGCTGCCTTCTGCTCAATGAGTCCCTTGTACAGGTCAAGCAAATCCTGCGCCGTGCGCGTCCGTAACGAGAGCCATTCGTACAGCCGTGGCCGCTCCGAGGCTACGCATCAGCGCCAGCGAATTTTGTGTGCAGAAACAATATTAAGACGAGTTTGCTTCATAGGGTTTTCGTCCATGCGAATCGAGCTGGGCTGCCTTCCTGAACCACAGAACCATCCTCTTCTAGACAGACATCAGGACGGACATGCACCTTTCTTCCTGTCGAGATGATGTTATACATCAGCAGCGAGACCGTGGTAAATGTCTATGAGCAGGTGCGCCTGGCCCTCCCTTCTCTGTGCCTCATCGTGTTCCCCCTGGTGACAAACTCACTCTTGTATATCCTCGCTCGGTGCACGGCTCGCTTGCGTGCGACACGGCCCAAGCGGCCATCGATGGACCAGCGCAGGCATGAGCATCTGTGTCTTGCGTCGTCTAGCTGACTGGCCGTGCCCGCATGTATCTGGCCCGGCGCCGATGCTCCCAGTCGGCATTGCAATACTAGAGAGCATCAACATGTTCGTGAGGAGTGAACTGCCGTTTTATGTGGTGAGCTGTTCGTACGTGATTTTCGTACTGCGCCGAGAGCTGATAGCTGTTGTACAGACATCGCTTTGGCCCATCTGCAGCATTGCCCGTATACGTTCGTCACATTGCTGTGATATAGATACAGACATATGCATACTGTGACGAATATGCTCTATCTCCTATACACTAGCATTGCGATCATAGACAAGTCGGGCGAGTGTGAACAATTCCTGTTCCAAATCAGGTTCTGACGGATACACTAGCAATACTACGTGCGCCCGTTCCGCTTTTCAGCCAAATGTCTGCCACAACACTCACACACGAGACGGTTTTATGCTGCGTGGACTGGTATGATAATCTCTATTCTACGCGTATACTTCCTGGTACATTAAATAAACCCCAAAGTTGCGGATGACCCGACACACAGCGGTCAGGGAAGCCGATGCCGTACTAGTCAGTCGGCCAGTGTTAGCGCGCACCGAAGGGAGCATCGTTAGCGATAGCATGGAGCTTCGCGATCTCCGCATCGGCAAGATTGATGAGCCTGAGATTCTGGACGACGCGCTCGGGCGTAACGGATCTGGTGAGTACCGCGACATCGAAGCGATTCGCCTGGAAATAGATGGACGCGTTTTCTAGGTTCATGCAGTGCGTCTCCGCGATCCGTGCCAAGACCGAGTCCGAAAGCAGCTGTGAGTTAGAGAGGCCGCGAGTACGACGCCCTTCGAGTGGCAGCACTGAACGAGTTCTCCCTGCACATAGGGTTCACATGATTAATATGTCAGTGGACGCGTTCACACGATGGAGAGACGTGCGCATGGGTCGGGCTGACCCGGTCAGTAGCAGGACAATGGTGAAATCCTTGAGAAGCTGATCGAAGAACCCGATGCAGACGTTCGAGACAGCTATGGCCTTGATCCTGTAGGGGTGCTCCTTATAGATGAAGCTCTTCATCGAATTACAGGTGGCGAACCAGCTCCACTCTTGTGAGTATTGCTTTTATAAACAAAATCGTAGATACGCCGACCAAGTGCAGGGCTGATGCACCTACTACAACAGACGGTTTTCTGCTGGATAAGAGGTCTATGTAATGCGTGTCGAGCTGCTGGAGCGGGTGCCTTGCCTCTAATTAGCGAGAAATGGAGCGGTGCATTTGAGTCGAACGAAATATACAAGTATATGTCACATATTGTAGCATACGTTTGCACACAAACCAAAACTGGACCGAGTCGGATCAAAAACAAAAAACAAAAGCACAAGGATGCAAATTCACATCGACAACGCTCTGCATCATGAATATATTGAATGTCCTGCCGTACAATCTCTGGATGCCTGATTAGACCTCTGGCTGTTCTCCACAGTGCGGTGCAGGTTGCTCATCACTGACACACACGCCGTCGTCCTCCCCGTCATCCCGGTCGTAGTTCAGTGGTTCTCCCATGTTTCCTATGAAGTTTGGTGTTGCGTTGTTGGCAAATTTTGACATGCGCAACGAAGCCAGCTGCTGAGATGTCCCAACTTCGGAAGTAGTGGATCTGCTGAGGTCGAGTTGACGCAGGTTCATCATGAGCCGGCAAACGAGAATTTGCGGCTGGGTAGAGCAGAGATGTCAGACAATCGGAAAGCTTTGGCAGCGGGCTTACCATTGTATTTGTAAATGAGATAATATTAGTTATGGATGTCTGTAAATAGTTGGTATGCTGCATGGTACTGAGAAGTAGGCTACTCACGAAGTAGAAAGACGCCATATCAGCGACATTCAGGATCAGGAGAATACTACCAACGATTATAAGCAGGGAAACGATAAGTTTGGCCAACAGGATATTTACATGAAGTAGGTTGTGCCTGAGAGAGCAGATCAGGGGTCAAGATCCTCACCGCTAGCACAAGGGGAGAGTCTCACCATCATGGATGAGGCATGTAGCAAGAGGAGACTTGATGTTCAATGATCTTGCTTCTTTGTACTGGCGGTAGGTCTTCATCCATGTCAACACTAGGACAAGCAAGTCCGCAGCAATCAGCGGAACGCGGGTGACGAGGGACACTGCAGAACAGCAATCAGTGGTAGTTACATTCGTGGATGAGTGGAAACATGCAACTAAGAAATTCAAGCTGAGTATGTTTATTATAACAGTGGAAAGGCAGCTGACTTACGCCTCATTCACATCGGAGGAGGAGGTAAGGAACTCTTCACATGTATCGATTAGTGGGAGATGTTTGAAGGAACCATATGCTAAGGAATACTTGGAGGGACCGTGACGTTTGTGTTAAGTGCGACTGTCTAGAGCTCCGGAAGGGAGTTGCACTTACGGCGTTCGTAACCACAGGCGGGAGACTCAAGATAAACACAATCGCGAACAGGACGTAGTTTTGATTCCATATTGCAGACACACGCAATGCGGAGAAGACTAGCAGTGGTCGGGTTGCGCACGCGATGGCTCCGATGCATCGCACTCACCAGCGGTTTGTGCGAGCCCCACGAGGCCGAAGATTATATATATCCTATAAGCGGCTTCACAGCTGCATTTTACATCGTCGTCAGCACTTTTCAAGTAAGATCATGCGAGGCATACTTCTATCATAACATGTTTATGTCATATTTAGCTATATGGTAAAAAATAGTAGCTTACTAGTGGTTCATATAGCAGGAAGTTGAATGCCATCGAGAAGAGTAACGTCCATCGGGTAAACACAATAAGGAAGGAGACAACAGAGAACCTTTGCTGCCACACAGCCTGGACTTCTTGGTCGAGCGTAATCAGGTGATCGTAGAACACTAAGGCTGCAACCTCCGGTGTGAAAATTCAGTACTCCTTCATAGCGCCGTACTTCACCTACGCTCCCGAACACTGTTTTATTGGAAATGATGCTAAACATGTCACGTCAGCAGACACGCGCAGTTCAGAGCAGGACACGTACATCCCTGAGAGTAAGGATGCCAAGTAGGAGGACATTATGCTGGAGGCTTTGAATGCAGGTGCGACAGTTTGCGAAGAGGCTAGATGTTGCATATGCAGCACCCACTAGGAAGCTATATATGCACTAAACGCATCATTCTTGTTATCAATAGCCGGGGAATTCTGTATAGCGCAGTGCCTAATGTCATTTCATGGTTATGAGCATCAATCACGAGGATATTGCGGGGTCAGTGACTCAGTGCATTCTCTTGCAAGGAGCGGTCACGTAGCACACTCAGTCTCTGATCATAGGAAGCAAATTCCGGCTGCCAAGAGGAGGAAGGAGATCCTGCAGAATCCAAGGGGCAGTGGTGTTGCCAATAGGCCAAATTCAGTAGCGTCGAAAACATTCGGATAGAGACGGTGGGGTCCTGGGGACTCGTCTGTACAATGACGAGCGAATTACTCGAATTGATATCTCACCTGAAACATTATGTGATACCCCAAAGAATGATGTGATGATGTGATGCGCCATTAGAAGCAGGTATACCGTGGCAGTAGCACTGATGACCATCGACGTGTACAAAATTATTTAGACATTAGCGCAGCTGCGGACGCAAATTGAAGGGAACTTTCCATTCAGCATATGTCCTTGTCCATCAGGTTAATCAAGTAGTGAATATATCGATCGGCTGATAAATGGAGTCAGTGATTACGAAATCTATTGTACAGTACTTGAGATCCGAGCACCGCACGTAGAAACAGTCGATACCAAAACGAATGATACCTAGTAATTCTAGTAACACAAAACTAGCCTATTTTGTTGGGCCAGTAGCTTGCGCACTGACCACCACGAGATACTTGTAAGGGAGACGGAAAAGGCCGATTTCTGTGTGGGAAGGGCACGCAGGAGAATACAATGCTAACGCGCACGATCTGCAATCTGTGATAACGAAGCCGCCGCGGGCGCTGGGTGCTAATTCCCGTAACACTAGTACTTAGCAATTCGACTTGCTCGAATACTTACCTGTCTGTGCCGGCGCTCGCCGCAAGCTGAAGGTCGTTTCTATATTGTATGCGAAATGCCGCTCCGCTGCCCCGGGGAGGAGGAGTGTCCCACGGTACTAGTAGAAATGGAGTGATGGCGTTAGGTCGATCGTCCTGGTGCACTTGTCGCGCGACCGAGATCGTAGGATACCTTGTCGTTTATAAAGTGCGGCTTGCATCCAGCCTTCCGAGTCAGATGGCCGTCCACGGCCTGCGTACATGCGAAGAGCGTCGCATCGAAGCTTCGATGCAAATGAGAGGAGCAGAAGAATTCACGAGAAGCCAAGAGTTTCAAGCGTGCAATAATCCGTGCTCTGCCCCGGCCGCGGTGATGGCGGGGCACACCGCGATGTCGGTGATGCGGGCGCTGACCGCTGTTACTCTCGCTGTAAATAATGTAATTTACAGTAATTTACCTACTTATTTACTTACATGTAATTTACACCGACCTTTCTGACGCAACACTAAAGCCGGCCTTTATGAGCCCTGAGCAGTACGGCTCAGGCGGCCGACGACTCGGCCTTGGCACAAGCCGCACGGCCCGGGCCTGAGCCACGGCCTGTGGACGCCAGATGAGGATCCTTCACTATAGCGCTCCAATTAATGTAAGCTAATCCGTCCAGAGACACAAAAAAGGTCGGTATGCAACATTGAGGTTGAACGTGTTGCGTAGGGGGCACTACATAAAGCGCGCTCCGCCCCGCCTCGTGGAGGCAAACGTCGGTGACGCGAACGCTCGTTGCTGCTGAAGCGCTCAGGCTCTCGTACACTGCTACTTCGGACGTGTCAGCTCTTGGAGGATACGAAACAAGTGAGCAGTCCAGGGTGAGTGCGAAAATATTGATTTAGCCACTGCTCAAGTCAACCTACTAGTAAAGCGCTGCCACCGTGCTCCACATGTACCCCGCCATTCCTCTAACCTAGAAGCGTGCTGCCTTCTACACAAGGCTCCCGTGCTCGTATACGTCATCTGCACGGCATCTGACGATGCTCTACTAGTATTATTCGAGTCTCAAGATGCTGAGGTCCGGCGGACCTTGTATGTTTGGCTCGTCGCGACGTCGGAGTCGTCAATCGAGTACAGCAGGTACGAAAACCGGGCCTTCAGCTCGCCGAAAGCCAAAATTCAAAGGATTGCCAAAGGCAGAGACTACATAGAGACTGGGGAGCTGAGCACGAAGGAGGGCTGACCGCGCTTCTGGATACTGGGACCAGGAGTCAGGTGAGCCAATCTCAAGACTGAAAGCTACTTACGGACGCCATTTAGAGTTAGTGTGGACAAGAGAGCAGCTCAATACGATATATTTGAAGATTTTCGCCCATTTTTTCTTCTTCTCCCTAGTCCATCGAGCACAAAAAGATCCGCCATCTCCTTCCCAGGCGGCGCGCCGGGCACAAGAAGCCGATACTGAAGATCTGACCAGTGCGTTGAACTGCCTTTGGTTCAATGTCTGCCTCTTCACTATTCCCCTTGATTATCTTAAGTCCCTCGTACCTGTCAAGCGAGTCCTGCACCGCGCGCGTCCGTGGCCGTTCCGAGGCTACGCGCCGGCGTCAACTAATCTTGTCGTCAGCTGTGCAGAAACAAAACTGAGACTGCGTGGTGTTTCAAGTTTGCTTTGCAGGGTCTCCGTTCAAGCGAATCGAGCTGAGCTGCCTTTCCGAACCATAGCATCATCTTCTTCTGGACGGACACCAGAATGGACAAGCATCTTTCTTCCTGGTGCTGTGCGTCGGCGACGAGACCGTCATCGATGTCTATCAACAGGTACGCCTGGCCCTTCCTTCTCTGTTCCTCATCGTGTTTACCATGGCATCAAAATCACGCTTGTGGATCCTCACATGTCTCAAGTCCTGTAGGCACAAGTTCGAATCGCTGGTGCGTGACTTGCTTGCGCGCAACACAGCCTGAGCACCCATCAATGCACCAGCGCGAGCGCGAGCATCCGCGCCTTGCGCCGCCCCGCTAACCACTCGTGCCCGCATTTATTTGACTCGGTACCGAGGTGCCCGGTCAGCATGTTCATGAAGAGTGAACTGCCGTTGTGTGTGGTGAGCTTTGGTACGCAATTTTAGTACGGTGTCGAGAGCTGATAGCTGTTGTACAAACATGCTGTGATGAAAATGGTCTTATATCATAGTATTGCGGTCATAAAAAAGTCGCGCGACTGCGAAGAATTTCTGTCCTAAATTAAATTCCGACAGATACACTGGCAAGGCTACATGCGCCCCCCGTTTTAACTTCTGCCACAGCGCTCACACGCGAAACGGTTTAATGCAGCATGGTCCGGTGTAACGATCTCTATTCTATGCGTATACCTCCTAGTACATTGAATAAACTCCAAAGTTGCAGAAGTCTGACGCACGGAGGCCAGGAAACTTAATGTGCCCGCAGCCTATCCGCCGGTGCTAGCACGCGCGGAAGGGAGAGTGCTTATCGATAGCATGGAGTTGCGCGATCTCCCCGTCGGCAAGTTCGATGAGCCTTAAGTTATGGAAGACGCACTCGTGCATGACGAACTTGGCGAGCGCGGCAACTAGTGATGTGCGGGCCCGGCTTGGGCTCAAAGCCCGGGCTTGGGCTTGTGGCGACGTTGAGCCGAGCCCTGAGCCCGAGCCGAGCCCGAGCCCGGCCCAAGCCTTGGGCTTAAGCCCGGGCTTGCTCACAATACAACGAGTGTTCCGGTGCTATCAAAAGGGAATGTATTTGGGTGTAGTAGATTAATACTGCATGTACTCACTAAATTATAATCTCCAGAAGATCTACATCTGCGGAACAAGTCGAGTCGCAGCGAAGTCCACGAGCGTGCGCCTACGGCAGGCACCAGATGGTGACGCACAATCGTGCTCGGCGAGAGCCGTTACATCTAGAATATCTACATTTTGTCTTCTATGTGCATATTAGGTCGCTCTCTCCTCATTCTGAACTCAGGGAACGGTAACGGAGCCAGCACACCCAAGCCTGGGCTTCCGGGCCGGGCTTGGGCTTGACTACGCTCCGAGCCCGGCCTTGAGCCCGCTGCCGGGCTTGACTCGGGCCAGGCTTTTTGGGCCGGGCTTGGCGGGCTTGGAGGCTTTGAGGCCCGGCCCGCACATCACTAGCGGCAACGTCAGGGCGAGTCGCCTGGAGCAAGAGTAACACGTTCGTCGGGTCCACGCCGCGCTCCATCGCAGTCCGCGTCACGACCGAGTTCGAGGGCAGCGGAGAGCTGGCGATGTCGAACGGGGAGTAGGCCATGAGTATCACGCCCTTCGAGCGGCGGGGCTGAACGAATTCTTCATGCAGGATCCACGAAAATATGTCAGCGGACGCGTCCGCACGATGGAGAGGCGTGCGTCATAGTACGAATCAGGCTCAATCGAGTTAATGGTAGGACAATGGTTGCCCTTTGAGGAGCTGCTCGAAGGGTTGGATGGAGACGGTCAAGACAGCTATAGCCTTGATTTTGTCGGTACGCTCCTCATAGATCTTCTCCGTCGAACTCTGGGCGAAAATTTAGTTCCGCTCCTTGTCCGGCGGCGAGCCGTCCACTGAAGTGTGCGCAGGCCAGTGCATCAGCCTTGTGTTTGGTTTGCGATTTTTTATTGTTTTATTTTGTTCACAAGAGCAATACTCACAGAGTTCTAGGTAAAGCGTGTATAGGTGCTGAAGCGAGTGCTTTGCCGCTAATCAGAAAGAAATATAGCAGCACCTTTGAATAGAACAATACATACAAGGGCATCATGGATACATATAATGGCATACGTTTATACACGAAACAAACCAGACTGAGTCAGATCAAGGGAAGAGACAACAACCTAAGGATGCGAGTTCACATCAACCGCGCACCGCATCACGAATTTATCGATAGTCTCGCCATACAATCGCTGAATGCCCGATTAGACGTCTGGCTGTTCTCCAGACTGCGGTGCAGGTTTTCCATCGCTGACAAATGCCTCATCGTCCTCAGCCATGTCATCCTGGTCGTAGTTCAGTGGTTCGCCCATGTTCCCCATGAAACTCGGGGTTGCACCACTGCTGAATGTCAATGTGTGCAACGAAGCCAACTGTTGAGACGTCCCGACTTCAGAAGTATTGGATCTTGCAAGGCTGGTTTGCCGTAGATTCATCATGAATCGGCAAACTAGAATTTGCGGCTGGGCGGAGCAGAAATGTTAGATGGTCGGAAAGCTTCAGCAGCGGGCTTACTAGTGTGCTTGTGAATGAGGCAACATTGGTTATGGGTGTCTGTTGGTGGTCAATATCCCATGTGGTACTGAGAGATGGGCTACTTACAAAGTAAAAAGAAGCGATATCAGTGACATTCAGGACTAGTAGAATACTACCAGTGATTATAAGCGGAGAAACGACAATTTTTATCAATAAGGGATTTACATGAAGTAGGTTGTACCTGAGAGAGCAGATCAGGGGTCAGATTTTAGCTGCTAACACAAGGAGAGGGTCTCACCGTCATGGATGAGACATGTAGCAAGCGAAGACTTGATGTTTAACGATCTTGCTTCTTTGTATTGGTGGTAGGTCTTCGTCCATGTCAACACTAGGACAAGCAAGTCCACAACAATCAACAGAATGCGGGTGACGAGGAACACTGAAAAGCAGCAATCAGTGGTAGTTATATTCCCGGATTAGTGAGAACATACAACTAAGAAGTTCAAGCTGAGTATGTTTATTATAATAGTTGCAAGGCAGCTGACTTACGTCTCATTCACTTCATCGGAGGATGTAAGGAACTCGTCACATGTATCGATAAGTGGGAGATATTTGAATGAGCCATGTACTAAGGAATACTTGAAGGGACATTGGTGTTAAGTGCGACTGTTCAGAGATCCAGAAGGGAGTTGCACTTACAGCGTTTGTAACCACAGGCGGGAGACTCAGGATGAACACAATTATGAACAGGATGTAGTTCTGGTTCCATAGTGCACACACACGCAGTGCGGAGAAGACTAGCAGCGGTTAGGTTGCGCACGCGATGGCTCTGATGCACTGCACTCACCAGCAATGTGTGCAAACCCCACAAGGTCAGGGATTTTAGTTATCCAATAAGTAGCTTCACAGCTGTAATTGACATTGTTCTCGGTACTTTTCAAGTAGAATCATGCGAGACATACTTCTACCACAATGTGTCTATGTCATATTTGGCCATATAGAAGAATAGTAGCTTACTAGTGGTTCGTATAGCAGGAAGTCGGACGCCGTTGTGAAAAGTAGTGTCCATCGGGTAGACACGATTAGTAAGGAGACAACAGAAAATTTCTGCTGCCACACAGTCCGGATTTCTTGGTCGAGCGTAATCAAGTGATCGTAGAGTACCAAGGCTGCCTCGATGTAAGCATTCAGCACCCCTTCACAGTGCCATACTTCACCTGCACTCCTGAACACTGTCCTATTGGAGATGATGCTAAACATGTCATGTCAGCCAATACGTGTGGTTCAGAGCAGGATACGTACACCCCTGAGAGTAGAGATACCAAGTAGGAAGACATTATGCTGGAGGCTTCGAATGCAGGTATGACAGTTTGCGAAGAGGCTAAATGTCATATTTTCAGCACCCACCAGGCAGCTATATATGTACCAATTGGCGCACCACACTTTTTATCAATAGCCAGAGATTCTGGGTGGTGCTGAACAGCGCTCGATGTCACTTCGTTGCTATGAACATCAAACAGGAAGATGCCGCAGCTTCAGTGCGCTCTCTTGCGAGGAGCGCTCACGCAGTACATTCAGGGTCCCAGATCGTGAAAAGCGGATTTTGGCTGCTAAAAGGAGGAAGGACACCCCGTAGAGTCCAATTGCAAGGGGTTGTAGTGTTGCCAATAGGCTAAAATCAGCAGCGTCGAAAAAAATCTAGATAGAGACGGTAGGGTTTGGGGGTTCGTCTTTACAATGACTCGCGAAGTACTCGAATTGACTCGCGAAGAACACGATATCTCAGCTTGATCATTACACGGTACACCAAAGAATGATGCAGTGATGAGATACATCATTATACACAGGATGTATCATAATAATGGCACTGATGCCCGACGAGATGTACAGACTTATTGGGACATTAGCACAGCCGCGGGTGCAATTTGGGAAGAACTTTCCGTTTAGCATGTTTTCCTTGCCTTGCATTGGGTTTAGTCGTTAGCGAATACGTCGTCCGGCTGATACATGGAGTCCATGGCTACAAGATCTGTCGGACAGTACATGAGGTCTGAGTACCGCACGCGGAAACAGGGCTTCATCTAGTCGATATCAAAACGAACAATACCTAGTAATCCTGGTCGCACGGGAGTGGTCCTTTTGTTGGGCCAATAGCTCCCGTACCGACCGCCCCGAGATGCGTCGCAAAATCTTTATGCTATAACCCGGAAATCGATGCTCGGCATCCTACTTCCATGGCAACCGAGGGCCGAGGACTCTGTAGCGCGTCGAGCCTCCGGTTCTCCTTGACGCGCTGGCACACGGCATTGAGCGCCATGAAATAGCCCTTCTTGAGCATGAGCGTGATCGCCGTGTTGTACCTGTGCAGCAGTCGATCCACGGCTGGCTGGGCGCCGCTGATATCTGCGGCAGCATTGGGTGGTGCGCGAGCCGCAACGCCGTGGAGGGGAGATTCGGTGAACGGGTTACAGTCGATGTTTGTAAAGGAGAGGAAAGAGATGGATACATACGGGGGAAAGGCACGCAGGAGAATGCAGTGCTAACGCGCGCGAGCTGCGATCTGTGATAACGCCGCCGCCGCGGGTACCAATTCCTGCGGAATCAGTACTCAGCAGCTCGACTCGCTCGGATGCTTACTTGTTTATACCCGCTGCTCCGCTGCCGCGGGGAAGAGTATCTTGCGATGGAAAAGAAGCGACGACGTCAGGTCGACTGTTCCGGGGCACTTGTCGCGATTGCAGGATACCCTGTCGTTGAAGAAGTGCGGCTTACTTTCTGCTTCCCGAGTCAGACCGCCATCCACTGCTTGCATACATCCGAAGAGGGTCATATCGAAGATTCGATGCAAATGAGAGGAGCAGAAGAATCCACGATAAGCGCACCAAGCACGCAGTGATCCGAACCGCTGGAGCCGAACCCTCGTGGCATGGTGATGGCGGGATGGCGTCGGTGATGCGAGCGCCGATTGTTGCTGAAGCGCTCAGGCTCTCGTAGACTGCTACTTCGGACACGCCAGCCACCTGAGATCTGAGAAGGCAAAGAGCGAACAAGTGAATATTCCACAGTAAGTGCGAATGTGAGAAAGATAGTCCATTCGGCCGGTGTTCTAAGTCACCCACCTATAGCGTTGAGGCTACCGCGCCCGGGCCCCACACATGCCCCGCTGCGCTGCGCTATTTCTCCTTCCCTTTTCGCTTCAACTTCACCCTTCAAAAGTTGCCTCTGTATCACCTCCGTGCGTCATTTGAACGATTGTGCCACTCAGGAGCGCGTCGCCTTCTACACAAGGCTCTCGTGCTCGCACAAGTCATCTGCGCGGCACTTGACGCTTCGCCGATAGGTTTCGAGCATCGAGATGCTGAGTCCCCGCCGGGCCCCATCTCAGCTTGCCGCGATATCTTCGGTCAATTTTAGTATGTACAATTGCACTTTTCAGCGGTAGTAGTCTGGATAATCGTGTCTTGAGCTCGCAGAACGCTGGAGAGGAAGGGACCGTTGAAGGCACAGCTGACATAGAGGCCAGGGAGCATGAAGGACTGGTCTACCCTCTTTGAGACTAGGATTTAGGTGAGCGAATCTCAAGACTAGAGACAGCGGCTCAAAACGATGTGCTCTACTTTGATTGATCTTCACTTTCTCTAGTCTATCGAGCACAAGATGATCCACCATCTCTTTCCAAAGCAGCGCGCCAGACATGATAATCTGAACTTGAAGAGCCGAACCCGAGACAGTATAATCGCCGGGAACAGAGCCTTGAGCAGACCACTGCTCAATGCTGGTCTCCTCAATGCTCGCGTTTGCCCTGAGCTTCTCCTACCGGGAAAGTATGTCTTTCTGCACTGCATCTGCTCGAACGAGAGCTATGCGTGCTGTCATACTCGTATCCCAAAGCTACGTGTCTGGCCACGTCAGCGTTGGTTGGGGGTGTCGTACATGAAGAAACCAAGACTGCACACCGTTCTGAGTTTGCTTTGCAGGATCTTCACCTGTGTGGCACGGGGAGATGAGCTCTCTCTCCAAATAATGTCAGCTTCCTCTTCGAATTCTGGACAGCTACCAGAGCCGACAAGCGCCTTTGGCGACGATGGCCAAGTTCGAGGCACACCGCGGCTAGAACGTTGACGACCGAGTTTCTCGACGGCGAGATTACGTCTCTACGACCAGGTGCGCCTCCCTTCCCCACCTCTCATCGTGTCTTCCTGATCAAACCTTGCACCCGAAAGCCGTTTGCCTCACATTTGAATTGCCGGTGTGCGACTCCTTTACGCGCGACGCTCGGAATTCATCGATGTACCAGCGCGAGCGCGAGCACCCGCACCTTGCGGCGCTACTGCTGACCAAGCCATTCCCGCATGCGTCGACTTGGTGCCGATGCGTCCAGTGAGCGCCATGATACAGAAAAGTGTCAGCACGTGGCGCATTGAATAACCTTACGGCGGTCAGGGAAGTCGAGGTCGCTCCAGCCGGTCCACCAAGGGCAGCACGCGTGGAAGGAAGCGCCTTCTCGACGGCATAGAGCCCCGCAATCTCCACGTCGGCAGCTTCGATGAGTCTGAAGCCCCAGACGACGCGCTCGGGAGTGACGGACTTGGTGAGCACGGGGACGTCGGGTGGTTCACTTAGAGGAGCACAATGGATACGTTTGCGGGGTTCGCACCGTGCGCCCCGCGATCTGCGCCATGGCCGAGTTCGAAAGCAGTGGCGAGTTGGAGAGGTCGAGTGTAGAGTAGGCCGCGAGTATGCCGTGCCAGTCGACGATTAAAATTTGACTCGAACGAGTTTATTGCAAGAAGCAAATCTCTAGCGCGCCCAGCGGGGCCACAGACAGGAACATCTGGACATTCTCAACGGCTGCGAGTCTGCCCTCAATTATCGAGAAACGGAGCAGCTTCTTGGGATCGAACAAGATGCACAGGCACATGATGCATATCTTAGCACATATTTTACATAAATTACGCTGGATCGAGTCAGTTCAAAGAGAGAAGAAAAAGCCCAAGGACGCGAATTCACATCAACAACGTCTCATGCAGTGAGATTCTTGATAATCCCGCCATAAAACCGCAGGATGCCCGATCAGACGTCTGACCCTTCTCCAGAGTGCGGAATAGGCTGCTCGTCGCTGACAGGAACATCGTCGTCCCTGTCATCCTGGTCGTAGTCCAAAGGTTCGCCCATGTTTCCCATGAAACTCGGTGTTGAGTCGTGGTTGAATGCCAGCGTGCGCAACGAAGCTGGCTGCTGAGATATCTCGACTTCAGAAGTAGCAGATCCTCCGAAATTTATTTGCCGCAGATTCATCATGAATCGGCAAATCAGGATTTGTGACTGATTGGAGCAGAGATGTCAGATGGTCGGGAAGCTTTGGCAGCGGGCTCACCATTGTACTTGTGACTATAGAGATGTCTGTGGAGCTCTGTAGGTGGTCAGTGTGCTAGGTGGCACTGATAAGTCTGTGAGCTGCTTACAAACGCAATGGCCAGAATTTGGGAAATATTCAGGGCCAGGATAATACTGTCGGCGAGTATAAGCAGGGTAATGGTGAAGATGATCAAGGGATGAGATTTACAAGAAGTAGGCTGTGCCTAAGGGAGAAATTGAGAGGTCAAAGCCCTCGCTACTGATGCAAGGAGAAGATCTTACCGTCACGGATGAGACAGGTAACGAGCGGAGACTGATGTTAAACGATCTCGCTTGTTTGTAGAACCGGTAGGTCTTCATCCAAATCATGACTAGGAGAAGTAAGCCTGCGACAATCAATGGAAAGCGGGTGACCAAGAGCACTGTAGAACAGCAGTCAGTAGTATTTACATTCATGGATTACTAGCGGGAGCATACACCTAATTAATTCAGGCTGAGTACGTTTATTATAACAGTGACAACTCAAAAAAACTTACGTTTCGTCCAATTCATCGGAGATGTCAGACGTCTCTAAGCATGTATCAATTGGTGGGGGGAAATATTCGGTGGATTCGTGGGCTAAGCCATACTTGGAGGGATGTCGGCGTCAAGTTCAG